GGAAATCATCATCCAATTCAAAAGGTCATGCTCCAATCTGTTCAAATGATACTTAAACATATCGCCTCATCACTTCAGTGTCCAAGGCAATATTACAAACCGGTTCAAACGCTTTAAGAGTTCCCTGTACATCATGTATTCAGAACTCATACGTGGGTAACCTCCTAGAAAGAAATGTTTCAAAGTGCGGGTGAACAACAATCTTTTCTCCACCTTTTCAGTAATATATCTCTCATTAACGTTTTTAATCCTCTTATGAGACAACACCTTAAATATGGCAGCATAGAATACCTTTGTTTCAAACTTGCAGCTGCAACTTAGATATTCGCCATTAGGTGTATATTCAAACTGTGAAATACAAATGGATCTCTAGTGTTAAGGCTCCTGAACGAAATAATCAGCGATAATGTAATTCTCCATTCCAGCAATTGCTTGATGGTCTTCAGGGGTGCTGATTTCACAATGGTACAGTTTCCTTAACTGTACTTGAAAAAAATTCAAACACTTCACGAGTATAACATGTTTGAAATTTTTTCCTCCCATGCAAATTCTGATAAACATTTTGGTTCAAAGCACCTTGACCTATATTCAGCTTCCAATTCTTTCTCGAACTTAGCTCTAATGGCTAACTCATATTGCTGAACAAATAGCTTCAAAGTGCTTTGGCGGGTGATGAATCCGTCCAAAGAAAGCATGCATTCCTTCACTTCTTTGTGTGGACAACATCCCAACCTAAAAGTGGTCATTTAGGTATACAGGAACCCATTTCTCCTTCTCCAAATAAAGCTTATAAAACCAATCCCTTCCATCTAAGTTATATTTTTCAATATATTCAGTCCATCGTCTCTCAAACTCAGCAACGTTAATGCTATCAAGGACTAAAGCCTTAAATTCTGCCTTTGCAATCTTAGCATCAACAACTCCGCTTAACTCATAGGCAACTTTGCGAATATGTGCCATATACAAAATCTATGTACCGTATTTGGCATCAGTGCATTGATGGCAGCCTTAATACTATAACTTTGGTCAGTCATGATAGCTAATGGATGAACATTGTTTAGAGCCCCAAGCCATGTAGATAGCACCATTTTGTAACTTGTTATATCCTTACTCGACATAAGAGCACATCCCAAAAGTATGGACTGCCTATGCTGATTGACACCAGCAAATGAAGCAAATGACATATTGTATCGATTCACAAGGTATGTGGTATCAAGGCATATTACATCATGGAACTCCTCATATGCAACCTTAGAGTGTGAATGAACCCATACGACATTACAAAGTCGACCAAAACTATCCACATCTACGGAGTAGTAAAATTCCCTATCTTTTTGCTGCATGTCACTGAAGAACTTGAGTAATGATTGTGCATCCCCTTCTTGCAACTGAAGCTTTCTACTCTTCAAAATATAATTTCTACAGTCCTTTGGTGTACATCCAAGATTTTCGGGGCCACCAGCAAGTACTTCAGCGACTCTTATATTTTTTGAGGGTCTTAAGCCAGCAATATCTTTGGCTGCAAGAGTTCTCTTAAGGGACTTACTAAGCGATCTGTGTCCAGCCATCAATCGCGATAATGCTGGCTCCAATTGATGATTATGCTTTTTAACCACCTTTGAAACACGCCATGAACCATCCTCCTCCAAGATTCCATTTATTCTAGCACGGCAGTTCCTCTTCTTGGTAACATGCTTATTACTTGGTTTCCTAGACCTATCACAACTATATTGCACATACCTAACAATATCACCACCTTTTTTGTTTGATGTTCTTTTGACAATGCAAACCCCGATAATCTTGCATGTTCTTTGTAAAAATCAAACATAACATCCTTACTACTGAACCGCATCCCAGTAATTGGACCAATTACGAGATCTTCTTCATTGAAATCATTAGGCATTTCCCTGTCCTCTCCAACTTCTTCCCCTTCCTCTAAATAATGGCCGTCGTCATCGTCGTCATCATCATCATCATCATCAGCATCATCATCATCATCATCAGCAGCAGCAGCAGCACCATCGTCAACATGATTTTCTCTATAATTGAAGTTGCCGTCTGAATCAATGTCGATCGACTCATCTTCATTCATCAAACTGTCGTCCGAATTCAACCCCAATGATGTGTGTAATGCATTCCTTAGTTGCTCCGACCTAGTTTCTAGGCTGTTATTCGGGTTTAATGGCTCCAAACTAGTTTCTCGGTTAGAATTCATGTTTAGGTTAAGAGAAGGGTGGTGAATTATGTGTTTAGTGAAAGATCTCTTTAGATCAAAACTAGAATCTAGGAAGTTATTCGGGTTACAATATAAATGGAAAATAATTATGTTTACATAATAGACTTTTGATCTTCCCATCCGTATAAATTGCATTTAAAAAAAATACGTAATTGTATTTAAAAAAAAACGTATTTGTATTTAAAAAACAAAGGTCATGAGCATATATACTATTACTTTCATCCGTATATACGAAGGTCTTTTATCTTCTCATGCTGAGAGAATGATGATTTATGGGATCAATATTTTGCGAAAATCAAAATTTATTAACTAATTTTAGAGGAAAATATTTTGGAGGGAAAAATGGCCATTAAGCCAAACTCCAAAATAAGGACTTTACTGGTATTTCACGGGTGTGATCATAGTTGGGCCACGCTGAGTTTGACCGAATAGCAGCACTCAAGGAAAAAAGCTTAGCTTAATATAGACATTTTTTGGTGGAGCTTTTGCATTAGATAGCTAACCAAATGTCTGCTGGCTGGAGAGCAGATAATTTATAAATAAGCAATCCATAGTAAATATTGTTCATTCTTCAATGCAACTCTTTAACGTTTATGTCTCTCGTTAATTTCAATTTCCAATTAAGGAATAGGTCAAAGCTCTTGTAACCAAAGCTAAAGGGCCTCTTTTTGTGTGTAATTAATTATAAACACATGTGTTTTCACATTTTAAAATACAATTATAATTATTGCCGAGGAACTTGGCAGTGGTGTTTTACTTTGTAAATAAGCGAAGAAGCAGAGCCCTGCGAGAAAGAACAAAAATTAAAGTTAATATGGTTAATTTTATTGTTAATGAATGCTAAAAGATAGATTCTTTAATACTCCATTCGTTCACTTTTACTTGTTCATTGTTAACTTTGCACATCCCTTAAGAAATAATAAATAAAGTGCATAATTTATCATGATACCCATATTAATTGGTGTATAGTCTTAATAGATTTGGAAAATAATTTGGAATGAGTAATTAATGCTAAGGGTAAAACAAAAAAAAAAATTATTTTTCTCTTGATATGCGAAAAGTGCCAAGTAAAAATAAAGATTTGTTTTTAGAATACTTGACAACTAAAAGTGAATGGAGGAAGTATGTGTAAAAATAACTAAAAAATCAATTAAAGTAAATCAGAGAGAGTACTTCTGTAACAACAACAAGACCAAAAAGTTTGGGGAATATTGCTTGGCCGTCGTGAAAATTTGATAACGTTGTGTCTACTATATGTTGGTTATTGCAGTACTAATATTACTTCCTCCGTTCACTTTTACTCATCTACTATATTAAATATATATTTTTACTTTTACTTGTTCAGTATACTAAATCAAGAGAAAAATAATTTTTTTTCTTCATGTTTTACCCTTATCATTAATTACTCATTTTCAAAATTATTTTCCAAGACTTTTTGAAATGCTATCATTATTATGGGTTATATGGTAAAATATATACTATAATTATTATTTCTTAAGGGGCATGTAAAAATCAAAGTAGACAAATAAAAATGAACGAAGGGAAGGGAGTAAAGTGATGTGACTAGTGACATTCGCATTTTATAATTTATATGTGCTTTTCTCAGAATCTGATGAAACTTTTATTAATTTTCTGGGTAAATTATATGATGCATTATGCTTCCAAAATTCCTATTCACACGGCAGCTCGCGTTATTTAATTGGTCTATGTGAAAGCAACCTTTAATCCTATATGATGCATGTTCATATCTTGAGTTATTAGTAACTCCCTCTCTTCACTTTTACTTGGCATGTATGCTAAAAATAGATTTTTATTTTTTACTTGTCACTTTACGTATATCAAGAGAAGACAAATTTTTTTTTCTCCCTATTATACCTACAGTATTTATTACTCATTTCAAATCATTTTCTCAAATCCAATAAAATATGCATCAATTAATATGAGTATCATGGTAAATTATGCACTTAATTTTGTTATTTCTTAAGGGGCATGAAAGTCAAAACGTGGCAAGTAAAAGTGAACAGAGGGAGTATTTCATTAACTTATGTTTCAATAAATACGACCCTAAAAGAGAGGTGACGGGGCTTATATTTCCCCAGTTGAAACAACAGTCGCTAAATTTAAATACTACATTTCTGTTATAAATAGAATTCTATTTATGGTGAATGTCTATATTTAGAGAGATTCTAGGGTTTATTACTTGGTGGCTAAGTCAACCTCTCCCTATAAATAGAGGGTTCTATTCCATTGTAATTCATCCCAAATCGATAAGAATTCTCTCCCTCTACTTTTCTTTGTAATACTACTCTTCTTCTTTTATTATTTCATAACAATTTCGAATTTTTTGACCTACTGATAACTTGATTGTCACTTTAAAAACAGTAATAAGGCTGTTTGGAGATTTTTTGCATTTATTTTTGTAGCCTCTGAAAAGAATTGTCATTGCCACGATGTGGACTCTTGTGAGGAGGACTGGAATATATGACATAGACATATATCAAGTGGGAATGATCTTAGATTCCTAGTAGAATTTAAGGCTCGACAAAAGCAAAGAACAGCGCCTGGTTGAGTTTGACAGCTAAATAATTAATGAATAGTGATCAGCAATCTATCAAAGCTAATCGCAAGTGTTAAGAACGCCTGATTTAAAGTATTTAAGTATAGATTAGGGGTGGTCAGTTTTACTTGTTGATGCTACTGTGTTAAAACACAAAATCAGAAAAACTGTTAGAAGAATAAAAGAAATTGAAAAAAAAGTAAAGATTAAGAAATATTCCGAGTCCACAAATTGCTTGTGCGTCCTTAAGGAATTTTAACCCCCTCACACGTTGCCAAGGTAATGGATTAAATCCTCCCAGGATAAAACGGAATAAACCTTCCTGCAACAGTGGCAATACAAACTGCAGGATACCAACGAACTTAAAGAACGGAGCAAAATCACACTTACGAATTTGAGAGAGAGAGACTGCGAATAAGAATGCAGTATTTTCAGAAAGAAGGAAGTTCTGTAATGTTTTTGGTGTGTTAAAAACGAAGCCATGCCTCAGAATTTATAGGCAATTATTGGAAGAGGTGTGATGTTTGTTCTGGAAAAGGTGCCTTTTCAGAAGTTTACGCGGCCTGCCGCGGTCCTACCGTGGTTACGCCAGGACCGCGGCCAGAGTAATTATTAAATAATTAATTAATAAAATTTTGTCCGAAGCCGAAGCCGAAGCCGAGCCGAGCGACGACGACGGCGCGAGGGACCATTCTCTTCAACACCTTTTAAGAGCTTTAAGAAGTGATTCTATATATAAGCACACAAATGTAGTTGTCCCTCACCAATGAGGGACAAAGTGCAAGTCAAAAGCTCACTTCATTCAAATTTTCATTTCCCTCCATTTTATTTTCCACCATTTCCAATTCACACTCTTATACTTTAAAGCCCAATGCTTAAAGTCTTTGAAGCTCAATGCCTTTAAAGCCCAACAATCCCCCACATGAATGGGAATGGCTGTAACAAGAATGATCATAGATGAAAGCTGTGTGATTTGCAAGTAAGGATTAATCGCATCTGGATAAGTAGGTTTCCCTTTGAACTTTCCGTAGTGAACATATGTCGGATATACTCGGTCAATCGGTAGATTTGATATCTTTGAACCGTCGAACTTTAGTGTATACCTAGACAACCATATGTCATACAATCAACCCTTAACCGTCTTTTATTCTCATTGTTGTGTTCGTTTCAGCCATGAACACCGCCTGGTTTCATAAGTGCGTAGAGAATTGGCCTTACAGAATTCTCATTGAAGCGGCTTCCACTTCACACTTACATAGGTGATTCCTAAACGTGTAATCCTTTAGATTGACACTATTTGATAAATACCACATCAAACTTAGGTAATCATTAAAGAACGTGTAAAGTTCTTATCCTTGTTACTGAACATTGTCTTCATCACGAGAAGGGACAAAAGATTTTACTTTGACAATGTTGAACCGGTCAATCACAACTTTGTTTGAGCTCCTTGAACCTAGATCTCGGAACATCCAAAATTCTAGGTAGAGTTACCGCCATGTTGACTTGTCTTCGGCCATAGTCCCATTCCCTTAGATGATTTCTCAACTCCCTTTCTAGTTAAGCCTTTTGTAAGCGGATCCGCCACATTATCCTTTGATCTTACATAATCAATAGTGATTATTCCACTAGAAAGTAGTTGTCTAACGGTGTTATGTCTTCGTCGTATATGACGAGACTTTCCGTTATACATAACGCTCCCTGCCCGTCCTATTGCAGCCTCACTATCGCAATGTATGCAAATAGGAGCCAAAGGTTTTGGCAAGAACGGAATGTCTTCTAAGAAATTTCGAAAGCATTCAGCTTCTTCACCGGCTTTATCCAAAGCTATAAACTCTGATTCCATTGTAGAGCGAGCGATGCACGTTTGTTTGGAAGACTTCCAAGATACTGCTCCTCCACCAACAGTAAAAACATATCCGCTTGTGGATTTTGTTTCTGTTGAGCCGGTTATCCAATTTGCATCACTATATCCTTCGATAACCGCAGGATATTTATTGTAGTGCAAAGCGTAGTCTTGGGTATATTCCAAATGTCCCAGAACTTGTTTCATTGCCACCCAGTGATGTTTGTTTGGATTACTTGTGAATCGACTAAGTTTACTTATTGCACA